ATTTCACAAAAGCAATAAAATCCGACATGAACTTTCCCAAAAATGTTGTTTTTTGTCCTCAAAATAGCATTAAAACAAATACTTTGTATTTAGGTTGGTCCATTGCGCGTGTGCAGTCCCATGCGCACATTTCAGAGCACTGACTGTTTCTATGGGAACTGGAGCTTTTAACGGCAGCTACAGTGATGTGATGACTTTACCACTTATTTTTTTGAAGGTGGGACTTGTTCCGCCATATTGTGCATTGCATTTTCTCCCATTCATAGTACTACATGTGATCCAACTTGGAATATACAGTCTTTGGTAATACTCAAGGGTTTCAAGTGCATAATTTTAGTGACATGCCATTGTTCATTTGGTGTTGACAGTGGCTGTCTTATCGACTATATTTTTATTCCAGAGCAATTTGTAGAGCCAAAGAAGTTGTCTAAAGTCAAACATTTGTCTAAAGCAGCCAAACCCTTAGACCATCAGTTAGGTCCACATTCATTATGTGAAAATATATATGTAATCATTTCATTTCTAATGTAATCTATCTGTATATCTGGCCTTTAAACCTTCAAATTTCAAGATTTTTAAAACCTTTTTTCAAAACTCTCAAAAACAAAGCTTTGTCAAGTGAACGTTTAAGTTTGTCTAACTTTTAAAAAAAAATACACAATTAATTCTGCTTCAAATTCGAATTGCAATTCTATATTCTGTTTGAAACCTCAATTTAAATGTAGAAATTGAATTGAAATTTAAGACATTGTTAGGTGAGAAAACCTGGTATATGCAATCATGAACCACATCATATTTAAGTGAGCTCTAAATGATGTTTTATTAAGAAAGTTTGGGAGGAGCACGTTCAGGTGGAGCATGTTTAGGTAATCAAGCGTGATAGTAAGTATATATACAGCCAACTTACCTTTGTCCTATAACTGTTTTCTGACATCCCTCCTCCACCCCAACTCCTCACTCCTAACTGTTCCTATCTCAGCTTGGGATATGGGGGAGTTCTCTAGGTTCGGGCTAAATTCCAAGTTAGGACCCTCAGGCAGCACGCCAAATATGCATACTATTTGCTCAATCTGATTATATGTAAGTGTGAACTCATGAAAGTCCTTTTATGTGGCCTGCTGTGAGGTGTTATGTAATTAGTGATATGGACATAATGCTTATTCTAAGCTTATGCAAATGTTTGTCTCTTCTGGAGGACAATATGTAAATTAAAGATGATTCTAAGAATCAGTATCTTGTGTAATGTACATGGAAGAATCATATGCTGCCATTAACCGAGTTCTTTGACAGCAGACGCCATCCTGCAAAAAAGATAACGTTAATTATGTAGGCCCCAAGAACAAGCTGTGTGTACAAAAATCAAAACATCTTGCGTAATGTGTGCAACTAATTTCCCAAGCCTCTAACTACTTGCTCTTTTTGCCTTGATGTCTAATAGAGGTCTTTTGGGTTGAATATGATACAGGCTTAATGAGAAGGTCCTCCTCACCTTCTCATTTTCCAATAAGTAATTGAGCTTCATGGTAAGAAGCTGGTGTGGCTGACTGCAGCCCATATGCTTCATCTCGACTCAGGGGCGCCACTAGCAATTTTGGGCCCTATGCAAGAATATGAGGTTGGGCCCCCTACACCACACCAAACATACACTATATTGCCCAAAGTATTGGGACACCCCCTTCTAATGAACAGGTTTGACTACTTTATTAATTTCCACAAGTACAAATCTTAATGTTTAAGCATATAATGATATTCTA